CAGCTTGTTGACTTCCCACGATGTTTTTTTGTTTTTCCGGTACCAGGTAAATTCACTGATTTGGCCTATTGCCATTGGTTGCTCGTATCCATGTTATCATTTTCTAACTGCGCAATTTCTCTAGCATATTGCGATGAATTTGATTTTAATTACCTTACGGCGTAATTTACATTTTATAACTGCGTAGTAGATTTTATACGTCTTAATACTAATTTACAAGAAATTTTTATATGATATTTTGCATGACAAATTTTTTATAAGAAACTTCTAGCCTATGTGTTTCTGATGTTATAATATTTGAACTTTCTTTTGTACTAGATTATTTAACATTAATTTACTCATAAAATCTCTACATTGGCCCTTCTTGTGGCATTTTCTTTTACCTTCATGCTTCTCCTTCGTACCTAAAATTTATTTTCTTGACATGCTTATCATTTAAAACGTATTATTTAAAATTTTGACTGATAATGTTTTAGGTTTTATATGAAATAACTATGAAATGAGCTTTTTATTTTTCTTTAAAAGTAATTTATGTCTTTATTTTATTCTACATTATAATTTCATGAAAATTTTCTATGCTATTTCTCGGTGTTTCTTGAGATACAGTGTGTTCATTTCAATATTTAACAAAATTATAGTAAAGTTAAATAAAACACTTTAAATATATTTTGTTGGTAATGTACGACACAGTTTGTAATTAGTCACATTTTATTTATAAATTGTAGTCAACAGTGTTACAATTGTATAAGTTTTTAATATATTTTTTCCGAGTAAATACTGTTCCAACAAGTTGCCTCTTATATTTTGCTTTATTTATTAGATATTTTGCCACTCGTGAAAAAAAATTATATTTTTAGGAAACTAGTGTTGCCTAACTGAAAATAACATAGCATGAGGGCTTATTTCTTTAATGTTCTGATTTTCTTCACAAATTGGCAAAACACTCAATAAATAAAGAAAAAAATTATAACTATGCAATAAATAACTTCAGACAATATACGAATACTTCTTTTGTACTGTGTGTATTTAATATTTTCCAATCCAATCAGGGAATTTTGAAAAAATATTAAGGTTTTTAAATTAAATTCGAAGTCTATTGAATAGTAATGCCATTATAGGAGTAGCATGGCGACTTTTTAGTTAATTTCTTTTCTCAAATTTATATAATAATTAGATTAAATCTCACGATCACGAAACGGAATTAAATCAAATACTAATTAATGTTTTTATTGCAGAGTGTATCCGTGACGGTATCAATCCTCACCCTGACCTTCATATCTATCGATCGATGGTACGCCATCTGTTTTCCATTGAAATTCAAATCAACCACGAGCAGAGCCAAAACAGCCATCGGGATCATATGGATAGTCGCACTGGCTTGTGGTAAGTGTTTTTTTATTGGTTACTTCTAACAAATCAAGAAACTCACTTTGCTTTTTCTGGTACGAAACAGTGATGTCTTTATTAAGGCAGTCGAGTATAAATCATAACGATTTATTGAATTACGGAAGTTATACAGATTTAAATAATTTACCAATAATAAAAGAACAGTAAATAACGTAATATGTACTATTTTTTAATATAATCTACTATTCTTTTGAGGGCATTGATAGCAGTGTTGAAGCAGCGTTCTCGACAAATAATATTTATGACTGCCAAGATACCCTTACCCGAACAGCTTGCGCGATATCTTCACTGATATGAAAATATTATCCCCGCTAGAAACTCTTTTAGGATCCAGACAGCTATGGGTCTGAAGGAAAGATTGAGGAGAATAGATTAGTCGAGGTTTTAAACTGTAGTTACGGCATATGAATTGCTCGCATGTGCCGTTCATTAGGTGAAAAAACAGATTGCCCATATTTTTCTCGTTAGGGTCGGCCACAGTGGAGAGTCGAGGCTTCAATAGAGGCTATAAACACGAATAACAGCTATGCGTCCACATCGTAATATGGCCGTGCAGATGGTAACGCACGTGTTTTATATCCCATAGTTGTTACTCGAACCTCTAGCCTCTATCTGCATTAAGTTAACATCCGGCATTTAGTCAGTTTTAGGAAACAGTACGTAAAAATTCTTCCGAGATTCTAGTTTTTAAAAATGCTGTTAATTCTACACACTTTTTGTCAGCCGTCTCTAAAAACTTTACTTTTTTATTGATGTCTTCGTCAACAATCTCTTCTAGTTTTTTCAGTCGTTCCTCTAGGTCTCGCGCATTTTTTGATAAAAAAAGTATAATACTATTAAGTTCTTCCATGCTTAGAGATTGAAGGACTGAACGCAGTCAGAATGTATTTCTTCCCATGCATCACATAGTTGCAGAATCTGTACATTTTACTGACAGAAGTAATAAATATCAAAAATACGTTAAATGTTTGGATTTCATTGCAATGTCATAAAATTCTAAGTAGAGAATGGATAAGACCAATCTAAAAATGATAAATAAATTTTCAATTTAGCCAAGATTATGTATTTTGTAACAAGTATGTCATTTTGTGACTATTATTCACAAAGAAGACAAAGCTTAGGACACAATATTATTATATCAACACGTGTTACTATATTACAACACGACACAGCAGCTGATCATATGGTTCACAGTCACTCCTAACCAAAGATCCAAAGTACTGAAATCATTCGATAAATACGCGTAGTCGTTAGTACTACCAACATAAAATTTTTATTTTCGTACCTGTCTGTCTATGTTTGATTGTGACAGACAGATTTAACTGCCAAAGGGGATGGTCAATTAGGCCGGTTTTCGGCCCTCTCCATTTTTGGCCAAAAAAAAAAGAAAGATAGAAGATTTTTTTTATTATTTACATCCAATAACTACTCGATTCCACCCCAAACTGGACCTCACCCCTCCCTAGTCAGGATCAAGGTCAATTAGAGGTCAGATTAAAAAATTGAGAAAAAGTGCATTAAATCAAAGGATCTCGGAGTCTAGGTTTTTTGGGTCACTGAGTTCGAATCGGAGTTAGTTTGTCTGTATCAGGTCGTTTTCAGGTTGTTTCAAGGCCATTTCAAGGTCAAATTGAGAAAAAGCCGAGCAATCAAGTCCAACCACCGGTTATACAGGATTTTGGGGTCACGGGGTTCAAATCCGAGTTTAGTTTGTCTGATCCAAAACCTAAATTTCGAGAACCTTTAATTTAATGCACTTTTTCTCAGTGTGAGCTCTAATTGACCTTGATCCTGACTAGGAAGGAGGGGGAGGTCCCGTTTGGGGTGGAATCGATTAGTTATTGGATACAAATAATAATAAAACAAAATGTTTTTTTTTTTTCGCCAAAAATGAAGGGGGCCGAAAACCGACCTAACTGACAATCCCCGTTTACTCGACTGTAAAAAAAAAACCGCCGCTTATACTGACGTTCTAAATGCATATGGAGAGTTAATTGCTTTGTAACAATATTTGCGCTATACAATTTAACCAGAAAATATATTTGGTTCGTCCGATAAGTACAGGCAACCAATGTGAGAAAAAGTTAATGAACAATTTATTTCATTGCATCTCATCTATATGACGCAAGTTAGCCTAAGCCCTCTTATTCTGATGTCCCAAAGAAACAGCTGCCAATTTTGGTTAAACTAAAACTCAAACAAAATTGCACTTGTAATAAATATGTTGACAATAATGAAATAGCAATTAAAGCCCGGCACTTTGAGTCTCGCTTAAAGCTTGATTAACTGATCAGGCGATTAGACTGTACATATAGAATTTATTTTATAAAGTATAATCACAGTCTAATCACCTGATCAATCAAGCCTTAACCGAGACTTAAAGTACCGGGCCTAAGTTTGTCACCGAGAATCTTTGAGAATTGTGATTGGTAGGTAACTAAGAAAGGTTATTTTTCTGTTTCATCTGTTACGTTTAATGAAACTCAAGACCGAATTATTAATAGAGGAGAAGGTGTGAATATGGGTCCCTATTTTGTGTTTTATAGATTATTAACAAATTTTTTGACAAATACATCTAAAAACTTGGGACACACTTACACCATGAACTCGTCTACAATAATGAGCGCGGCAAAGTTCCGGAAAGATAAAAAATACTGAGATATCAGGAAAAATATGAAAATTGAACAATATCTTATATTAGGGTAGAGTGTATAAAATATGGGCCCCTATCCAAAATGATGCATAAGTTTACGTTTAACAAAGGAAACTTTATTTTCTAGTCAAAAACTTCATATATGATTATACAAAAAAGTAATGGCAACAACAGAAATTGGAAAGAAAGAAATTATTTGCAAAAGTCACAAATGTAATGTTTCTGTTATTTACGCTATCCATAGAATTTATCATGTCTTCGGAGTTCCATTGTTTCCTTAAATTCTTTGGTGAAAACTTTGGTTTGTTACGTGGCATGGTCAAACTGGAAAAAGAACTGAATTCAAAATCAGGGGAGAATATAGGCCTTGGCCCATATTCGGACCCACAAAAGGCCCATATTACCAGCATTGCATGTCATTCAACAATAGATACCTATTATTTGTAGAGTTTAAGTGAATCAAAATATTTTCTGAACAAAACAAACTTTGATCTTTATACAAAATATCTAGGTGAATATACAAACAACTTACCTTCAGATAATATTCAGAATTCCAGTAACACATTCACCACCATTTGCTTCTAACAATATAGAAAATCAACTGCACAATGTCGGTTAAACAGTTCGCTACTACGTAGCTGTCTTTTAAATTATTATTCAGTGATGCCGCTAGATGTTCTAGTAGGAATAGCCATGGGGCCCATATTAAGTACATGGCACATATTTGAACCTTCTCTACTTTTTTCGTTTTTAAATTATTGTCATTTAAAATATTTGGAATTGAAGCTTGCCATTAGAAGATTTTTGTTAATCGACACATCAGAATAATACGGGCAAGAATATTTGCTTAAAATGCTCAGGTTAGTTATATCTGCCATTTTTACTCTTATGATTTTAGACAAATAGAATGGTAAGTTTAAATCACAGTGAGTTAATTTTCGTAAATTCATATGGTGTAAATATTTGATCATGACAATAATGTTAATGTTAATGTGACATGTTAATAACATTTCCTATAAGCTTAATTATTGTGTATGTCTTTTTTTTCGATGAATAAAAAATGTTTCATTACTTTTCTTTTATTTAGAGTCACTCTATGGATTTTAATGAAAGCATGAAGAGATAATGTAATACAAAATATTAGTTTTTAGCTTGAGATCAATACTTTTATAGCAATATCCGGATCAATCTGACACAAATAAGAATTAAACGTTTTAACAGAATTTAAAGGAAATAGGCTTCTTGCCTTTTCGTCGAGATAAGTTCGTTTAGGCAAGTGAGACATTATGAAAACGATGTTTTTGAAAGATATTTATGTATTCAGCGCCCATAATAAATTGGGCATATTTGAATATTTCAACTAAAATGAAAGACTGTAGGTAATTAATCATTTCTATCATAATTCTTAATATTATATTTAGGTATTATATTACGGAGAGAACATGAAATACGAGACTAAAATTATAAGTACCCATTAGGTATTGTAAAAAACACATACCGTAACAGGTTCGATTTTTTTAAACTAAATTACTTTGGTATTTTAACATTATACAGGCTGTTACAAACTGGCTTCTCACTACAGGGATATCGGAAACGGTAAGAGCTACGAAGTAGCTTAAATGGGGACAAAGTTGTGTAATCAGGGGACCAACAATATGCCTCTAAAAAATCAAGGCTAACATGATTAGTTTTCGAAATATTTGAAAAAAAAACGAAATTTTAGAAAGCCGTTTTTGTTTAATTTCAGCATTGTTTGAGGAGATATTGAAAAACAAAGAACACTTTCTCATGGCCACTTTTTTCCCTCTATCGAATGACATAATCANAAAAGTGACCATGAGAAAGTGTTCTTCTTTTTTCAATATCTCCTCAAACAAGGCTGAAATTAAACAAAAACGGATTTCCAAAATTTCGTTTTTTTCAAATATTTCGAAAACTAATCATGTTAGCCTTGATTTTTTAGAGGCATATTGTTGGTCCCCTGATTATGCAATTTTGCCCCTATTTAAGCTACTTCGTAGCTCTTATCGTTTCCGAGATCCCTATAATGAGAAGCCAATTTGTAACAGCCTGTTTAATTTTAAAATACCAAAGTAATTTAGTTTAAAAAAATCGAACCTGTTACGGTATGTAAAATGTTTTGTCCGCTTCGTGGCACAAATGTTCATTCGAGCGCGTTTTGTATTCTATGTACTGTCGGTACAATATTTGTTGAGATAGAGTTCCAAGAAAAGAATAAGTCAATAAAGTAACTGCAAAACACAGTATGTAACTACTGCAAGCTGCTACGGTGAACTCCACGGCGCCAATGTCTTTCTACATA